GGAGAAAAAAATGGCCTGCTTAAATATTCATAGCCATCCATTATTTAGTGTTGGACAGTGGTAAATATTGAATGCCTTTCTCGGCCACCATAAATCATTTTCGCGCTGGAAAACTTATCGGAGGGAAGAGCAACAATTCACATAATAATTTATTACCATGTCGGTTTAACTGTGTCGCTAAAAACGATCAGATTCGAATACTGTCGACATCAGTTAATATTTTTCGTGTGTTAGGAAGTTGACAAATTAATTATCCCGGTTCAAGCGACTTGTGTAGCTTCGTGATGACAGAGAATGTTTTCATTTAAAATTTAAAAGTTAAACGAAACATTCTGAACTGTTTAATCGACGTTGTGTACGTTTGTATGACACTTAATTTTTTATAAAAACACCTTGTTTGCTTTCCGGATCCGAAATCATCGCGAGATTAGATTTGCCGGACCGTAAAAGTGCAGATTATGAACGGATGTCGGGTATAGTAAGTAACGCAATTTCGTTCCCCGCTTGACAATTCGAGAAACTTTTCAGGTAGCCCCATCCAGCCAGTGAAACTGGGTCATCAAAACGGCTTATCATGCCTGGCGACCGGCCAGCTTGGGCCGTAAAACCGTACGGGAACTTCAAATTCAAGTAAAAATGCAGACCGCTGCCATAAAATTCAATTACAGGAATGATTGGTGTCGAATCCGATCGTTTTTTTAGTACATTTATTACGTAGAATACCGGAAATAAATTGCAGGCAAGGGTCACTTGTTTCAGGTAGCCAATTAGCAGGTTAATCGAACGCTTTTTGTAACAATCGGTACCATTTTCTTTTATAGTACCGCCAGAGCGTCCAGAACAATTTTTTTTGTGGACCCATGATCATATGAACTTTTCATCTTAAAATTAGTCAGAGATTCACCCTTTAAAGTTTGTACAAGTACTTAATAAACACGTATATAGTATATTTTAATATTCAGTAGTTTCGACAGCAGAACTTATTGGCTTATTCTTTTCTTGGAACTGTTATGCATCAGCATTATCCCAAAGTTTTCTGGGTCGTATAACGTGTCGGACGAAGCCGCTCGTATATTTACATCGACATGAATAGATATAGGTCCGTAAACAGGTCGAGACGTCTCGTGAAGCGAAAGGATAACCCGGCATAAAAAATAATAAGGCGAAATCCGGGAAATAAATAAGGCCGTTGTTTTCGCGGATGGCAATAGTAGGCAGGAAAATCGGGCGGCTCTGCCGACGGCCTATCCGAAGTTATTAGTGCGCGGGGATCCCATATTTCAACATATATATGACAAGAGGTTAAGTAACACGTGAAACTTCCCTCGCAGCACCCCGTCCACATTTTTTTTTTACACCGGACGTATCCGTGAGAAATGGGCTCGCATCAATCTACCCTAGAAGGATTCTACGCGAAAGGGATGAGCGATTCCGAAAAAATACCGAACGTGTTTCCCACTCAGAAAGGGCGCATACGGTAATATTTAATTTATAACTTGTCTTTACATTTTCCGTTGGCTCCAAATAAGTAGAATTATTTTTGCAAATACTGAATTGGGTTGTAACAATATAAAGTAATGCAAAAAATTTTTTTTTAGGTTCTCACATTTTTACCGCAAGTAACGTTTAAATTGACGAAAAAAAAATTTGGAAAAATTTTCACTTATAATCTTCCTAGTGCTTGAATTATTTCCGGAAATTTTTCCGAGGGAACACATTTTTTGGAAATTTTCTAGAAAAATGCGTGATTGAGGAAAAATTTCCGGACATTAATTCAAGGACGTGGGGGATTCGGTAAGAAAATTTTACAACCAACATTTATTTTAAAAGTTTGACATGTTTCATTTTGAAACTTATTTCGCCAAAATAAAGTTGGCTTGACAGGTAGACATTGTTTTGTGGTGCATGACATATTTTTTTCTTCTTAAACGTCACATAATTTAATCGCATTTCACGCGTTTTTTTTTAATTTAAAAATGGCTCGTTTTGGAAATGAAAATTACGAAAACATAAAAACAACACGTTCCTTTCACTTTAGTAATAAATGAGACATTTAAATTTTGAATTCAAATATTTACCTTTGCAATACAATTCACTTAGTATTACTTAGTAAATAGAAGGAAAGTAAGTTTTTGTAGAAAAGAGATGTCTATGGCAGTTTATCAATGATTCTTATTAAAACATAAAAAACACATTCCTTGCACTTTAGTAATAAAAAAGGCATTTAATTTTTAAATTCAAATATTTATCTTTGCAGTACAATTCACTTAGTATTACTAAAATAGAAGTAAAGTAAGTTTTTGTAGAAATGCGATGTCTATGACAGTTTATTAATGATCCTTATTAAACATAAAAAACAGCACATTACATTCACTTTAGTAATAAAAAATGCATTTAGTTTTTGAACTCAGGTATTTATGTTTGCAGTATAATTCACTTAGTATTACTAAAATAGAAGTAAAGTAAGTTTTTGTAGAAATGCGATGTCTATGACAGTTTATTAATGATCCTTATTAAACATAAATAACAGTACATTACATTCACTTTAGTAATAAAAAATGCATTTAATTTTTGAACTCAGATATTTATGTTTGCAGTATAATTCACTTAGTATTACTAAAATAGAAGGAAAGTAAGTTTTTGTGGAAAATCGATGTCTATGGCAATATATCAATGATTCTTAAAAAATCATACCTAACTGCAATCGAGTAGGCTTAGGCTTGTGATGTCAAAATCGTTTTCGCTATACCTACGTCACGTTGACAGTAATTTTTTCTAGCTTCTAATTGTTTACAATTAAATCATGGCAGTGAACAACCAAAAAACTAATTTAAAACCTTATAGTATATGTAATTCTTGCACCAAAATAGAGGACATTCTTATGTCTCATAAAAATTTAAAGTATTTGCCATATTTACTGAAAAAAACTTGAATCAGTCCGCATCAAGAAAAAAACCTTTTCGCAGCTATTCAAAGATTTTGGAGGAAGATATCCCATCTTTTTTACGTAAAACCAGGGCTCAGCAGAACAAAATTTCATCAAATTTATTACATATATTTTATGAAACACAGACATCTGACGGAAATGTAAAATAAAGGTAATAATTATGCTCCTCGTTACTCTCCGTTGCGAAGAGAAGAGTTCCAGCCAGAATTTCAAAAACTTTTAGCGTTAATAGAAGAAATCTCGGAACAAATATTTGGTAAATAATTATTTGTATCTATTTATTATTTTAAAATAAATAAAAACATTACAAAACAAAATTCTGGATAGGTACTGATTTTTGAACCAAATGATAGCTGTCAAAAAAAATTCCACTTATTAATTTTGTTTGCCTACTGTCGAAATTACAGTATGTAATTGGCTTAAAATGACAGGTGTAAAATTTTCGAAAAAATTTTGGAAATTTTTCGAAATTTTTTGAAATTTTTCTTTACCATCAATTTAAATGTTATTTGCGGTAAAGGTGTGAAAAAGCCTCAAAATTTTTTTTTTTACAATTTCATCATGGTTAAGAAGTGTTTAAGCTCAAAAAACATGACCCTTTAATTTTTTTCAAAAGTTTGACTGTTTGAAACAAAGAAACGGTTCGTTAGATCGAGATGAAACTTCACAGGGTTCTTCGGGGTATATCGGACTGTAAAAGTCATACTTAACATTAGTCATTTCGTGAATGTTTCTAATTTAGCCGTCAATTTTCTAAAAAACCATAAATTATTGATAACCGGAACTCCTAAAAAATTTCGATCGAAAGATCCAAAAACTAGAATTTTAAGCTTCAAGATGCTTTTTTAATTCCCGATACGATCATTTGTCATCTAAATACCTACAGTCAGTCTTTTGGCCGTTTAATTTTTTGCATTAGTTTATGTACTTGAAAATGGAAAAATGTAATAGGTAAATATTTTTTAATTCAAACGCGTAACCAATTTACTGAAAATTTATTATCAAATTACAGCAAAATAAAATATAAATATGAATGCGTTCGTTTTAAACATGAAAATTACATTTAAATTCATGGAAATCTGAGCTATTAATTGAATATATTAATTAAAATAGATACATATGGACGAATTAATTGTTATTCCTGTTGAAAAATTGGTTTATGCCTGCATGTAACATGAACCAGGAGAGATAATTTATTGAAATTTGGTACGCTATTGTAGTTTTTACAGTTTTATTTCCGAACTATTTATTCAATTTTATTGTCGCCATGGGCGTAGGTTAACTTAGTATAAAAATACAGGGTCGCTGATATGTTCATATACAGTATGTCCAAGATGAGGATGGGATACCATTAGGATCTAGGAAACGGTCAGAGATACGGGGTGGCTCAAATTAGGAAAAAACTTGTTTTTTAATACCTAACAATGTGCCGCTTAGAAAGTTTTAAAATTCTGGGTAGTACCGGAGATGTCCGGACAAACTCGAAATTTTGCAAAATCGTTTTATTTCTTTCTGGCTTTATTTGAAAACGAATTTTAAAATAAATGGCATATTTTATTTGACACTTTTTTCGCTCTATCCAATGGCATCAACATTTTTCCAATTCGACGTTTTGTCTCTGAAGGGCCATAATCAGGTTACGTCGCTGCTATTTTTATTATCAAATCTAAAGTAATTTTTAATTAGAATTGAATTAGATGATTTCGATAGCTTCGAAAGAACTATCACTGTGTGCCAATGAACTACCTCTTTCGATTCCTTCTATACAAGAAAAAAAATTATTATTTTTTTAAATTTAGCGCTAGAACTATGCCTATTCCCCTTATTGTGCACTCCAATAATAACATTACGGCTTACCACAGAGTAGCCACTTAAGAACTCCGGTACTGCACTTTCGGGGAAATAAAGCCTAGGGCGCTTATCCCGACCATTCTTTAAATTTTTCCTCGCTTTTGACCGTTACAATGTATAGAGAAAATTCCTTTTTATTTGCAGATGGTGGCGACCGAGCCTGGAGCTGGAAATACTGCCGCAGAAGCAGCCGAAGGGGGAACGACTTTCGGAAAGTTAAGGCAAACACTTTCTTCCTCTCTACTCACGGCCCAGGACAAAGGTAACGGATTACGATGAATGCGTTTTGTTCGGGGCTTTGCTTTGCTGCATGCGAAAGAGACTTATTCACAGTTGCGGTGGGTTTTAAATTTCCTCGGATTTATGCAACAGAATGTAATTTAATAGGGGGTTTTAATCCTTCGATAAGGAATTTATACGAATTTTTAAAGACATTTCCCTCAGTGTAATTATATTGCGCAAAGCACAGGCGTTTAATTTTTTAGCAACCGGTTTATTTGTTGCTGTAAAGAGCATGGTTACCCTTATATTTAATTAATTCCATTTATTTACGACGTTCATACGGTTTAAACTGTAACAGTTTTTCAATCAATTCGAATTTTCTTTAAATATTCAGCAGGTTTTAGTAATAAACCTTGGACAGGGTGCGATTAAGGTAAGCTTTTTACTTGCGTTGTATACATGCGCAAACTTTCCATGCCTAACTAATATTCGTAATTTTGGAAAGTTAAGTACTATCACATTCACACATTCTAGTGTACCCAACCGAGAAAATATATAAACAAGCACAACACAGGACAATACATCAAGTCGGGGATAATGTAAAGTGGTTCTTTCCAGGCCTGATTCTTAGGCAATTTTTTTTCGCCCTCGTCGCGGGTTGATGAATGGTTTATTCAACAGGCTCTGCCTATCTCCACGGAAACGACATATAATTGTAGGTCTGATGAACACCGCTAAAGGATTCTCGCCGCACAACAAATTGGGGATTTGGTAAAAACTCCACTCGGAGAAACCACTGCTTACATAAGAAGCGATGAGGCTATTCTTGCCTCGGTGATAAGTCATAACGGCGGAAACGAGGGGCCGTAAATAACCTTCCGCCGGGTTCTCGTGCGCCTCCGCATGCGGTATTAAAAAATATGTGGAATTCAACTGTACAAATGCGTTCCAAAGTAAACGGGACTTTTAAAAAATAAGAACAAAACGGTTCTTTGGGCGAAACCGATTTATTTTATTCATAGTAGTGCCCTTCCGGGTCGGCCGAGATGTCCTTCAGGTACTAGCCTTAAAAATTTTTAAGCGCATCGCGGTTTTGAACTCGCCTATTCAATTTCGAGCAGGCCGAAGCGGCCGCGCTCTCTGCTTCCCCCACCACCACCACCCGTACGATTTTCTTATATTTCTCGCAAAAGCGAAAACCAAAGGTGTTTTTCGAAAAATTAGCCCGGATGTCCCAGTACATTTAGTGTAAATGACGGTTAACTTTGATCGGCTATAACTACGTAACTAATTGACCAATCGATCTGTTTTATTTTTTTAAAGAAGCGTCTTTCCAATAACTTAAAACCTGCTTTAAAAAATTTGTTGTAGTTATTCTAATTGTTTATAAGTACAAAAATTCGACCAATGTTTAAACAAACGCCAGTGCTCTCCTAATTGACGGATTAGAATTTTTCTGAAAAAGTTTGAAAGCTTGAGAGTCTTTCTATATGTGATTAAATTTTCAAGTATCTAAGGGCCTTGGATTTTGCTGTGCAAAAATTTGAAAATTTGCAATTTTTTTTTCAAAATCTGGATTGCAAAATTATTATGCAAAATCTATCGAACCGATTTTGATAAAATTCTATATAACATGAAGTTTTCTTGAGCCAAGTATAAAGATCCTACATCCAACTTAAATACCCCAAAAAAATTTCCTAAAAAGTATTGTTTTTTAACCCAATTTTTTCATTTTTACCATAATAATCATGATTCATTCCATTTGTAACTAGTCATGTTTTGTAAAACATCTAATTACAAAAAATTTTTTCCTCTTCTATTTTCGCCTAGAATCAACTCTTGAAAAGATACATAATTAGATAGGAAGAAAAATATGACATTTTTCGATTTTTTAAACATATTGTGCCGCCAAAAGTTAAGCCCACGTTTTTTTTATGCGCCTAGAAAAATTTTCATTTCTAGTGATATTTGAAAGCCAAAAAGCCAAAAATCTCCGTGGATTTACGATTCACCCAAATATGGACTCTTTGAAACAGATACCGTCTGGACTATAAATAAAATCATTCCATTTAACAGCACGTATACCAAATTTAAATTTTTTGTATCCACACAGTAGGCATACTATCGAGTTTGAGGCACCCTGTACAATGCTATCAATTCAAACACTCAAAACAACCAACAAAATGTAAAATGCGAAAACCCCTGTTTACAATTTTGTTTTATGTTTTCAGTGAAACGCTAAACAAGCAATAATTCCGTACATAACAGAATAAAAATTATAATTCAAGGGTGGCCTCGGGATTTTCCCCTCGAGTATTCCCTTATTTACTGCGCCGTACACTTTTTTTTTTTGGTACGAAATTAGAAGAATGTGCCGGGCGCATTTTTTCTTACGGGAATATTAAATCGGGAGTGATATTTAATTTAAAAGGGTGTCCCGAGGCGCCTCCCTGTCTCTTAGTGCCATGTCATATAACGCAATTTTCTACACATAATGCGCACAATGCTGCAGCCACTTTCCATAAATTACGGCCTAGTGCTGCCTCCAGTGTAAGCATTCGGCTCTAAAAAGGAGCAGGAAGTTAATGTTTCATTTTAGGGCTTTTCGCTTCAGATGTTCCTCCATAGAAAATCACTTCTGTTCTGAGTTTAGGCGCGTCTTTTTCGCAGGTAGTAAAGCTAGGTCTAAATTTCTCATCTAGGGTGTCAGTTTCTTAACCGCCTTCGATGAGTGCGCTCGATTTACTATTTACACAGTGGCGTTAGCAGTAGCGCCCAGTGTGCCCATTTGGACAAAATTCTGCCGACAGTACAAGACTAAACCGATTTTCATGAAAATTTTTTTGCATGTTTGTTATATCTTGAAAAATGACCTATGGGTGCGATAAATTTAATTTGTGACCTTTTGACCTTGCAAAATTCGAATTCGTGGGACACCCTACCTGTTGAGCATAAAATACGTTTTTAAAATAACTTCACAGACATTTTGGACCATACAATGCACACGAAAAATTGTTCAAAGTTTTTTTTGAATTCTTATTATCTTTCACCAATACATAAATACGTTGCATTCAAATAACAATACCACAAAAACTAAATGAGATATCGGCAATTCAAGAACATGTGGTTACAGAGGTTACATGCAACGCAATGCTGCCAACCACATGTCACTATAAATATCTTCATTGGCGCATAGTTCAAAAAGTTCGGTCATTTCCTGAAGAGATTTCGTAATTCTTTTAAATAAAATACCAAAACCTTTTGTTAAACAGACGTTTCGTTTCTGATCAAGAAGTTTATCAAATATATCTAAAAAAACGTAAAAAAAATTTTTTTTTAGTTTAATTTTTGGAAAACATTATCGCTGAGACCGCTGTGGCGCAATCGGACTTATGAAATGATCACCTTTTTTTGTTCATTTTTTCTCGGGGCGGCACCGTCTCCCTGCCTCCCCCTAGGCCCCGCCGCTGCGCCGTGGGTAATCGATAACTCCCGGTCGACCGCTTTGTAAAATTATAATCCATTATACAAGTCGGGACCGAGTTCCCGGCTTGCAATAAACTCCACTAATGCCATATTTATATTTAAACCCGTAAAGCCCATTTATCAACTCGCTCCCAATTGACAACCCTCCATTTTTTACGTAGACAAATGGTCCGGACTCCCAGCCATAATTGTTTCTTTGTGGCTCCGTGTTAATTATTCAAATTCGCATTATCTTAATTTCACAGGCGCGAGAAGGGGGCAGCGAGAAGTTATAAGCTCCCCGATTGTAATACTCGGTTAACCTTCGCGGAATCTAATCGAAATCCGCGTGGAAATTAACTCTATTGAGTTAGTTTGGTCACGCCGAGCCGCTCCAAGCCGAGCTAAGCCGCGCCGCGCCAAGCCAAGCCGCGCCAAGCCAAGTTTAAAAATCTATGTAAACTTTCACAATGTTTATAGATAAGTCTCCGAGATCTTTATTGAAATATTTCATGTCATAATTTCATTAAAATCTATTATCTATTCACACTCATTGTCTGTACGTATCTACAACATTCTACTTGAGACTCGCAAGCAGATTTATCTGTACTGATTTCGTAGAGCTTTTTTTACTTCACCCTTACTTATTGTTAGCTCTCCTCGCCCGCTTACAGCAGCACAAAGAAAAGCAAATTTTCGCTCGCAGAACTTCAACTCTTGTTATCGTTTTTTGTTTACCGCGCTAATAACTGGAACAACTTCGCTCCACTCTTTATGTAAAATGGAAATTGTTTGGAAGAGGTATATACGTTATACATAGAGAAGCTAAAATATTATGCGCTGTCGCAATACAAGCGGCCCCAGTTGGTTTTGTTAGACAACTACTAAAACTTGTTTGTCTATCCCATATTTATTATGCTCTGGCGATATTAAGTTTTGGCTAATAAAGCCAACGGTTTTCATTAAGTGTACCCCTTGAGGTTCTCATTTTCAATTATGTTTGGAGATCGTTTAAAGAGGAATATTAATGCAAACTGGGAGGGAGGGGGGTACCTATGACATTTTTATCAAAAAAAAATTGTTCAGTTAATTTCTGGATATTTTTGTACTAATTCTTTGCCCTTTAGTACCTTCATTTTTTTTATAAAAATGTGGCCCTCAATTTGCACGCCATGGGTTATAACCTGGATCAACTAATACCCCCAAATAATCATGGTTCTTAGTAGTTCTCCCACAAAGCAGTTAAAAGTTATTGGCAAAAACCGATTTATTTAAAGTCATCTTCAAACGCGTGGATTTGCGGACCCATGTTTTTATGAAATTTTTATCTTATTTTGAGTGGACAAATCTACCCTCAAAGGGAAGTACCACTATTTCCGAACACCCTGTATAAACGTGCGATATCTTAAAATCAAATGTTGCACATCTGAAGCAAGAAATTTTTTCCACCTGCAGACCGACTTTCTAATGTCGATGTTAATTAGTAAAAAAAATTATTATTTGCACCTATGTCAGTATTTCGAAAATAAAATGGGTATGGTGCAACTACGCGGAGCGAAGACAAAGCGCAGTCGAGTAAGGGTGCCAGGTGGTGTAACAAGCTTTATAGGAAAGAACGTATTTATCTAGATAGTGAAGTGCGCATTTAGCGATTTGGCAATTTTAATTTAGGAGATAGTGACGGAGCTTAGGGATTCCGCAGCTGGCTCCAACTTGTAGATTTCCTATCTTTTCGAGATTGAGTTCTCGCCCGGTCTATACTATTTCATGGAAGTTGCAAAAGGAATCGATAGTTTTTTAATTTAAGCGTAGCTTTTTACGCTTACATTCTGTGAGTATTACTTTGCTTCGTATTGACTGACAAGGTTGTGAGATTTCAACATTTTGATTTCATGATTTTTTTATAACGGAATATATATTGTATTTATATGTAATTTTACTACTGTTAAAATAATTTCGAAGTTATATCGTCATTCTAACTTTCCAAATCGGTGCAATTAGTGCAAAAATCGACGCATTAAAAGAAATTTCCAATCTAACCGCATCAAAAACAACACCGCTCGTTTCAACGAGCTCTCCTAGACTGCTGCTATAACCGCTGATGAGTTTTTGCGGATGCTTTTCCGTGTCAATAGATTGCTTCCTTTAATTATCTAATTCCCCATTTCCTTTCAATGACCCACCTCTTCATCTGCCTTGATTGCAACTACACTTTTTCCGAGAATTGGGGCTCTCAGTGTAGGCGTATTATATAACGAATGACGATCAGGTTCGATTGCAATCTATCATCCTTATAAAGCACAATTTGAGGGTAAAAATTTAACATATTCGCTAAATACCGGTCTATAATGCGTAAAATGGATCGAATATTGATTGATCAATGAGGCAGTTCCTGATAGGCGTCATAATTTTGTTAAAATAAGTTAGTACCTAACTGAGTTGACACTAATATTTGAATATAGTAAAAATAAAATGTACATACAGCCCATACGATATTTGTTTTTATAAATTATATTAATTAATTATATTGGGAAATTCTTATGACCAATTTGAGAATGTTTGGAAGTTTTGAAGAGCCACAAGCTAAAAACTATGCAAAAGATAATAACCGCGACAATCAAATAATACGTATTTTATTTCAACAACAATCCAACATCGTCTACAAAAGTATGCAATAGGGAAATAAACATTCCCAAAGTTTAATAATTAGCAGGATTTCTAAAAGGGTTTGGAAAAAATATGTGGTGTTGCCAGATTTATTAAAATATTGAGTTTTGAGGTTGTTTTTGAAATTTTTTCTTACTTATATTACTTTATTGAAAAGCCAAAAAATGCTCTATTTGCTCAGCTTCCAAATCAAAAACTTGCTGTAAAAAAGTGTTTTCAGATTTTAAAAATTCCTCTAAATAAAAAAGTTACAGACTTACTTTTTCTTTAAAATAACTCGAAAGCTTGAACAGCTAGGACCGGTCTACAATCGCCATTAAGTTAGCAACGGAACTGTTTAAACCTTTCCCCATATAACCATTTTCCTATCTCTTATAGTTTCCAAAATGCCACAAACCAAGCATCACCAAAATGGTCCACACTGTATATTTACCTTAATATATATTTTAATATTCCGAAAATAACGTGGAAAATTTTAAGGCACGAAATGTGTATATTGAACATCTAGTATTGGTATCTAACTAAGTCCTGGAATATGTGTGAGTGAGAGAGGGGTTTGCGGGGTTTGGGGACACTTGGAAGTAGTAAGTTTCTTTTATTCCTCACCAGGGAACTGAACCCGCATCATCTGTCTCGCGGTACATTGACCACTGAGATGGGTATTTTTTAAAGAAGCTACTACTATGTCTTTTTTCCAACATATACCAACCAGTTCTAGTCCACCAACTAGAACAAGTGGTAGAGACGATTTTCATACACGTAATAAAAAAATAATAGACTTTGCAGCTTTGTCTTTAAAATGATTTTATGAGCAATATTTTGGAAATGGCAAATAATACAAGAATGTGAAATTTTGAGAAGATTTTAATTACATTAACACTGTTTTCTTTTGTGTGGCGTATGAATTTATGCTGATATGGTGCGACGGAGCGCGGCTCTACTCGACTTGGCGCGGTTCGGCACAACGCATGTAGAAAGTAATACATCGTAAATAAAATATATACACTCAAAAGCGTAATTATAAGCATTTTTGTGTATAAAAACCATTGCGAATACGTAAAAAACCGACGTAAAATTCCATAATTTGTATCAGTGAGTCTCCGAGAGTTTATTAAAACATTACAAATCCTATTTTCATTAAAAGCTAGTTCTACCTGTTGTCGGCGTTCACAAAAATTAATCGCGAACCACAAGGGTGGGATCCTAGTCAGTTCTACGTACCAATTAGCAAGCCGTATCGTCTGAAGAACTTAATTCCGGAGGTAACCGCGGAACGACTCAGTTCATTTAAATGCCCCGGAATTATTTTCATTTCGATCCGGATTTAATTGCGCTAATGCCGATATTAACGGCCGGAGCAAACCTCGACATAATTTATGAAATTTCCCGATGCGGATAAATTATGGTGACACGTAGGAGGATGTTGTTTTCTTGCGAACTCCCACAGCCCACATCTAAATATAATCAAGTTATAAGCCACCTTCGCATGTAATCGTGTCCGATCGAGCTGAAATTCAGGAATTTATCGCAAGCCGATCGATGAAATATGGTTCGAGCCGTATGCTTTGCTTGATGTGTTAAGCGAATTTGCTAGTATGGACATAAAAAAATATATGACCTTCTTCCCATTGATGCAGAGAGCATTCGTGTATTTACATAAAGTTGCACAAATGATTATATGATAACTAGACCAAATACAAGGTGTATTTATACAGAGCCGAGCCGAGCCGCGCCAAGCCCAGCCGAGCCGCGCCAAGCCGAGCCGCGTCCAGCCGAACCGAACCACGCCCTGTGTATTTCTGTATTTAAATAAAGAAGCATAACTATTTGAATATATTATGTACTTAAAAGAAAAACAATTATTGCTAAGTGAATAAATGAATTTTCCATTAAGTTTAGCCATTTCTGAAATCAGATCAAATTTCTGCCAGTGTTTATGTAAATGCCCACGAACCGCAGCTGTCCGCAGCCAACGTGTCTGACTAATTGCCCTTGTTCGCAGTGACCAAGATGTCTCCGCGGCCTTCCCTGATACCTGACACGGAGGCGACGCCCCCCATCGAGGAGAAACAGGGGGCGGCGGCGGCGCCCTCCACCCCACCCGTCGCCGCCAAGCCGGAACCCGGCAAACCGCCCAGCAGAGCGGGCGCCTGCCGCGTCTGTCTGAAGGCCTTCAAGCCGGACGACTTCAGCAGGACCTGTGCCGAGTGCACGCAGAGGGTGTGCGAGGACTGCGCCAGCTACAGCAAGCTGGCCGAGGACGAGGACCCCGCCAACTGGACGTGCAGCGTGTGTCGCAGGTGGGTGCATTTTAAAGTACGCCCCGGTTGTTCTCGGGCTAGCCTCCGTGGGGGCGGTTTCGCGAGCGGAACACTCAGGCCCGTCCTGCTGTTGGCCGCCATCGACAACGGTTTCAATTGAACAACATTATTACTTGTACTGCAATAAAAGTAATACATTTTTTGAGAAATTATAAGAAAATACCTTTTATGCACGTCTACAATTATTGTGACAGTTCTTTTTCCACAATTTTGTTAAACCTTCAACCTAGAAATTGCACAAATTCAACGATTATCCATTTTTGATACTGCCAAAATTCAATTATTATTATTAATTAATATTATTAACCCTCCAAGGTCACACTTGAGGTGGGCCACTTTAAAGGTCACACTAGTGCGAATTGGGATTTTCCCCACTGAACCTTTATGTCTTTATTTGATAAAGATTTGATTATTGATATTCTGATAAAGAAACCGTATTTATATCAAAACTGGGGTAAAATTTTCCGAGTCATCAAATTGCAATTAGTTTTAAAGAAAAATATAAATATAAAAAATGTGATTGAAAAAACAATTTTTTGTAAAAATAACTTTAAATTCGTATTTTTTTATAAATAATGGCTAGAGAAAAAATAAAAAAGGGATTTTGAAGCTCAAAGTATACAGGGTGTCCGGTAAGTACCTCCTAATCTCTCGGGAGTGTATAGGGGAGGTCAAAATAAAACTAGTCCTTCCTATATTTTTTTTTCCTAATGTGCCCCCTAACGGAGTTATGGGGGGTCAAAGGGGTACCTAGAAATTAACGTTTAGGGTTATAACTTTGAAACCACCCTGTATATTTTAATAAAATTTTCGTACGTTGTATTACACATGGAGCTCTACGATTTGATGCTAAAATCAACTTTTTGCTATTATCAGGTGTCCAGAAACGGACTGGCCCTATCACAATTTTTCTCAAAATTTTGACAGAAGTAATTTTATCAAACTGAAAATATTATTATTAGATACTCTGAAGGTTTTTCTTTAAAAATGGTACTCTTTATTTATTTCGAAAAAATGAACGGTTTGCGAGATAAATCGGTTTTGAAAAAAATTGGTAACAAATACAACAACAATTAAAATTTATTTTTTTACAATAAAATCATTCCCGCTAGTGCCAGCCTACAGATTCACCATAAACATTTACTGGTGGTGAATTAAGGGAATGAATAATGCCGTTTCTTGTAAAATCAACATCTATGACCAAAATACATCTACAAATTATTATTGCTCTTGTCTCCATGGAGTTCTTTTCTATTGTTTTCGTTGTTAGACCCTGTTGATTTTAAAGTACTTGTCAAAGGCGCGTGACAGAATAAAAATTCAATTTTATTGTGGTATTCGTTTTAAGCCGTTAGAAATAACATTTAAAAATGGAAGAATATTCCTGTGCAGAATATGCTGATATGCACCTAATTTATGGGGAAGCATTATGCAACTCCGTGGAGGCAAGAAGACTTTATGAGGAAAGGTTTCCGGGTCGACATTTGCCGAGTCCAAAAACTTTTGAAAGAGTTGATCGTAGTTTAAGAGAAACAGGTAAAAAAAAATAGTGAAAAACGTTAGTGAAACTAATTTCTTCCGAATCCTTTATTTAGGAAGCTTTTTGCCACGCCGTGGTGGAGCAGGAGCCCCGAGGAGAGTACGAGACCCTCATGTAGAGGAACAAATATTGGAAGACGTTGCTAATAATCCTTCAAATAGCATAAGGAAGCTTGCGGCGCAAAACAATGTTACAAAATGGGCTGTACATGAAACTCTGAAAGAACAATTGCTTTACCCGTACCACATCCAAAAAGTACATGCTATGTCTCCAGATGATTATCCAAAAAGACTTCAATACGCCAATTGGTTTTTACAGCATCATATTCGGAATCATAATTTTGGTACATCTATTTTGTTCACCGATGAAGCAGGTTTTACAAGAGACGGCATAATTAATTCGCATAATCTACATGTCTGGGATGAAGAAAACCCTCACGCTTTAGTTCAAACTCGCTACCAACAAAGGTTTATGGTGAATGTGTGGGCTGGCATTATCGGGAATCATTTGATTGGTCCATTTATTCTGGAGCAAAGACTTAATGGTGCTCTTTATTTGCAATTTTTAGAGGAAAATCTAAATATTTTGTTAGAAGAAGTGCCCCTTCAAATAAGAACTGAAATGTGGTACATGCATGACGGTGCACCACCCCACTTTGATCGTTTAGTACGTCAACATCTGACGAATGTTTTTGGTGATCGATGGATAGGTCGAGGCGGACCTGTATTATGGCCACCTAGGTCGCCCGACCTAAACCCATTAGACTTTTTTCTGTGGGGTCATTTAAAAAATAACGTTTATTCAACACCCGTAAATAGTAGAGAGGAACTTCTGCTGAGGCTAACACAGAACTGTGACCATCTCCGCAATAATCACGGAATATTATTTCAAGTGCACCGGGAAAACATTCGTAGGATTAGAAAGTGCATTGAAGTACGGGGTGCTCATTTTGAACATCTACCGAAGTAACATTTAGGTACCTTTGTTCATTGTTGAATGTTCTTTGTTGCATGTCTTGTAAGTAAGTTATTTTTCAAATGTTATTTTTAATTGGTCACTACTTGCTCATAAAGTATAGCCAACCCGTTCAAAGATTTCTGGACTTGATAAAGTTAAAGAAATTAAATGCATGAAATAATATGTAAAAAAAATAAATTTTAATTGTTGTTGTATTTGTTACCAATTTTTTTCAAAACCGATTTATCTCGCAAACCGTTCATTTTTTCGAAATAAATAAAGAGTACCATTTTTAAAGAAAAACCTTCAGAGTATCTAATAATAATATTTTCAGTTTGATAAAATTACTTCTGTCAAAATTTTGAGAAAAATTGTGATAGGGCCAGTCCGTTTCTGGACACCTGATAATAGCAAAAAGTTGATTTTAGCATCAAATCGTAGAGCTCCATGTGTAATACAACGTACGAAAATTTTATTAAAATATACAGGGTGGTTTCAAAGTTATAACCCTAAACGTTAATTTCTAGGTACCCCTTTGACCCCCCATAACTCCGTTAGGGGGCACATTAGGAAAAAAAATTATAGGAAGGACTAGTTTTATTTTGACCTCCCCTATACACTCCCGAGAGATTAGGAGGTACTTACCGGACACCCTGTATATTTTTAAGAAAAAAATATTCCAGTTTGATAAAATGATAGTATCGATTTTTCCCGGTATGTGGAATATAGTTATTTTTTGAAGTTCAGTATTTTGACTCCTTTTCTATAATTTTTTTTTTTGTATAAAAGTAATAATGTAAACAATATTATCCATAAATATTGACAAATACATGTTACAATGAAAATAAAAATTTTTGAAAAATTATTAACAATAAATAAAAAATAAACGCTGTTCTAGTCTAATCGAGACGTAAAATGATATGAAAAAAATTAATTTGTATTTCAATTCACTTTATTTCTAGATTAGGTATATGATATAAATTCAGTCACACTTTTGCCCACACTAAGACTAGTGCGAATTAGCACCAATCGGACTTTTCAGACTTAGACAAGTCGAAAACCTCGCATCCGTGAGGGAAATTTTCCGACTCGATTTTTTTGCATATTCAGATTCATGAGATGTTCCTTAACATGAATCAAGATGATGCCGGCCGGAAATCTGGTGCTCATTTGTTTAAACACACTTTTTTAAACAAATTGTAAAAATTGTTTTTTTCACTCCGAAAATTTTTCTTGATTCATGTCTTAACATGAGATGAGATGTTCCTTAGAACATCTCACGAATCTGAATATGGAAACCTTCGGCAGCTGTTACCCGAGAACTGCCAGCTGTTAAAAAAAAAATGGTGCGAATTCGCACTGGTGTGATCTTTGAGGGTTAATTATTCGTGATAAATTCTACTCGACGGACATTACCGTTCAAAAAAGTCGCCTTATAATTTCACCTATTTATTTACCGACGGGGCGGCTTCCCGCTTCTAATAAAACTTCTTTTTTTACAGGAAGCTGCAGTCGCGGGCCGCCCTGGCCCAAGACTCGAACGAGAGTTTATTAGAAATTCCAATCCAGGAGCTGCAGAGGCGGCACTCAGAAGCCAGACTGGGAACGGGCGGTGGCTTGACGGTGGGCGGCGTGGGGAGCGGTCTGGCGCCCCCCAGGAGTCCGGAACTCCGCAGGCATTCGGACGTGTCCCCCGCATCGCTGAAGGAACTGGAAAAGGTGAGCGCGGCATTGCGACACAGCGGTCTGTTTGTATTTTTATTTGACACCAATCTAAAGCGATGAAAATCACAAAACAAGTCAGATTTATGTAAACATGTTACCCGACTATTGCTGAAATCTGAAACGGGATGTACCGGAAACTAAAGAGAAAAAAATGGATAGTGAGATACTCTAGAAACAAAGATTAACCATAATCTCATTAGTCTGCACAAACCAAACGCTCTTTTGGCTAAACTGAGCAATTTTTGGGTCTATTTTCACCCTAAATATATACAGGGTGTAAGAAGTGTGTGCCATTTCTTCAGCATGAAATAGAGTTAACATAAATGAAGAAAAAAAGTTGTATATTACAGGGGCGTAAGATTAACAGTTTTCAAAATACAGCGAGTATTAATATTGGGAGTTCCATCACAACCTGACAACAGCGCTTAACCTGCTGATCCATACCACGTGTACACGCGGCAGACTTGTCCTACGGAAAAAATGTAAAAAGCTATTATTGTGAAACATTTACTTTTTAGAATTAAGAATAAAGAAGTTCAAAAAAGTGATAAAACATTGTATTTTATAGTATTCTATGCACGCGGTTATGCCAGTATTCCTTAATTAATCGAACTTTTATACATCAAATTGGAGATTTTGATAATTTTTTTTTTCTCGGAAATGGTTGAGATTAGGACCCATGTCATAAAAGGTTATTTTGTTTATTTATTAATTAAATATTAGGACCCAATCTTTGACCAAGAGTGTGTTTTATCATTTATTGGCATCAAAATGAGTAGCACTACCGTCTTCGCACTCGCGCTTTTCTTTTGTGTGCCGATGTTATTGAACTTGAACGATGCAGTTTTAATGGCAATTTAAAATAACGAATACCCGGTGATATGCCTTACTTAAATAAAAATGTCACACGTTAATCGATAAACGCTTCATTAACTGCGCCCAGTTTATCGATCAACAAGCCCAACTCCGGCGTCGTTTGCCTAATCAAAAGTTAACTCGGTTTTCATCCAACTTCGAACACCCCTATGCTTGTGATGCAAATTTTACCTACTTAATAGCTGAATTACGTGAGGAACTGCACCGAAGCGTTCTATGGATCTCAACACCGCGATCGGTAATTACTATTAACGCGCATACCCAATTAGCAAAGCCGAGACTGGTAATTTTCTTTGAAACCTATATTTTACAAATCTGTAGTGGATAAAAATTAAAATATCAACCTCCATCGTGTGTACTCTGCGCAGTGACAAAAGTCGAGAAGTATCTTAAGAAAAACTTACCAACACCGCATTTTTTCCAAGACTACGTAAATAAAATTCAAATAGAATCATTTTTAACGATTAACGATTTGACATCAATGCGACTTTGGAACATTTTTATAGCTCATTGCTTACTTTCTTGCCCCCTGAATATTCCTTTAGCCACGCTAAATTTCCATTATGTGTCATTTTTATACGTGTCGAACCGAATATCTATCGGCTAAAAGCTAGTTTATTAGACACATACATACTTCAAAGAATAAATTTTACTGATGGTTCTTAAAAAGAAACTTAAGTAGGTACTCGTTTTTTTTAGTTTTAAGTAAAAAAACAAAATAAAAACCTTCCGAAGCCTCTTCGAAAATCAATTTGCTAGAATGATTTCCATAAGCAGAGCAAAATATCAGACGTATCTCGCTTACCGCTTGAAGAGAGTTAGTGGCTATCTATTCCCTTTAAAGCATACCCCATTTCTTGCTAAAGTGGGTCGATATATTAGAGGAAAAACCGTAGCAAGTTTTTTTATTTTATCGAAAGCCTATAATAAACGTCTGATTTACTATTATGACTCGCTTTTTGCCGCGAAAATATGTACATTTGATAATACACCCGTATATTTTTTCCGAATAATTTCTCTCGTATAGAAGGTATTGATTATGCTTCATATAACTTGTGACAGCATGAAGTAATAAAACCAAAGTGAAGATTTATGTAGATTTTTTGGTTTCTGCTATTTTCATTATAGACCAGGGCGGATCTGTTTTGAGGTGGATGTGAAAGGGGACAAGAAATTTTTTTCTGGATTACCTTCAGTTCAACTCACATAATAAAAGTGTAGATCCCTAGATCTGGGCGAGGTCCGGAAAATTATTATTTTTTTTTTTAAAGAAACGTCTTTCCGAGTACTTTAAAATTATAATTTTTGAAAAAACTTAAATTGATAAATGTCGATTTCATTTTTTCAAAAACCATTTGAAAGGTTGAGCGGTCTTTTCTATGTGAAAAAATTTTCAAGTGTCTAGGTGATTTATTTGAGGCTGTGCGACATTTTGAAAATGCGAAACAAAAATTTCAAAATATTATATTGCGAAAACTATCGAACCGATTTTAATGAAATTTGGTGTGTTATTTTATTATACTCTAAAGCTTTTTTTTACTAAAATTAGAATGCCCTCGGAACAATTAAAATATTTTTAAAAAATTATCCAAAAAAACTTGATTATTTTGCCTTTTTTCATCAATAATTATTGCTATTTTGCAACATCAGTAATAAATTTAAACATTTTTAACTTACAGTATATTGTGCAAAATTCAATTCTAAAACTTTTTTTCCTCTTTAATATTCTCCCAAATGCATAGGTTCGAAGATATAAGTAAAAAACTCAGATAAAATAGGTATCTTTTTTTCAATTTTTTGCAAATTTTTGCAATTTTGAAAATGTTCCGGACCTCGCCCAGATCTAGGGATCTACACTTTTATTATGTAGTTGTACTGAAAGTAATCCAGAAAAAATGTATATATTGTTAATGGTAGAGAAACAGTTATTATCAGATAGAAAATTACAGACCGTATCAAAAGGCTACAGTGGCGTAACATATTTAAAGGGTCATTTTTAAAAATTAAACAGATATTTTTAAAGCATTCTCTTATGTAATATGCCACTCTTTACTGATAACACAGGCCCACAAAAAAAAAGTATCGTACCTGGTATTCAGACCCTTGTATTTCTATGTGTTTTTCCGCTTAATCCGAATCTGCCTTCAGATTTGGCTCAACGGGTCTGAGTTTTCGGGAAAATTCAAAAAACAGGTTAAAATTCACAAAAAACGTCAGTTACGATCGACGAAAGTTGTAAAAAGTCAAATTATTCTACCAGCTCACTAGACGTATGATTTTTCACTCGTTTAATTTCAATTTATCATCATAGAGTCAGACAAGCTGGTCCAATTTCATTCAAAAAGAATTTACGATCGTAAATTACGTTTTTTGTGAATTTTGACCAGTTTTTTAAATTTTCCCGAAAACTCAGACCCGTTGGGCCAAATCTCAAGGCAGATTCAGATTCAGCGGTAAAAAAATGCATGGGTCTGAATACCAGATCCGATACTTTTTTTTTGTGGGTGTAATTATTACCATCATTCCAGTTAAAGGCCGGCGGCAACAAAACCCCCGATCCAGACTGGTCGCGAGGCCGAGGTGGCCGCAGCACCGCCTGCAGCAGACAGAACAGCCCGCCGCGAGAATCAACAGCGGCACCGGCCCAGCCCTCGCGCTCCCGAAGGGCCTCGAGGGTGGCGCGCCAGCACAGCTACGACGACGAGGTGAAGGGCGCCCTGGCCCCGTCCGGGGCGCCCGAAGGCGGCCTAGGCCTGCCGGCGCCCATGCCCAGGCGGGCGTCGGCCTACGACGTCTTCTCCGTGCCCGGCCTCAGCACAGTGACAGCGCCTACGGGGGGCATGGGCAGGAGGCCCTCCTTCAGGGCCCCCCCGCCCGAGCCGGCCAGTCCCCCCAGCCCAGACGCGGGGCCGCCCACCCTGGCCGCCCCCGAGGAGGACCGCAGGACCAGGAGGAGGGGATCGCACCTGTGAGTAGATATTCCCTGTGTTTTCTTCTCCGATTCGATTAAAATAATGCCGGATTAAAAAATTTATGCACTGTAAAAGAAAATTCACTCAAATTTCTCTCAATTTTACTCAAGAATGTAAAACCAGGTAAATTGAACTATTATTGAGTAATTTTGTACTATGAAAATTTAATACCTGGAGTGGTTTTGCACCACTTTAATATTCTCTTTCAATTTTAATTCAAATATCATAAATCAAGAGGATTGAAGTCCGTATTTCTGGGTGGCCAATCCAGCGATTTGGAAAAACTGCATCTAAATATGCACGCACTGGCCGAGAAAAATGCGGTGGAGCTTCCGTGGTGCATGAACCACAATGTCTCTTCTTAAATAAAGTGGAACTTCTTCAAGCCGTGGAAGCATTTTTGCTTGGCCACCCAGAAGTCCGGACTTCAATCCTCTTCATTTTTCTATTTGAAAGAATATATTGGCTCGCGTGAAGAGTTGTGGCAAAGAATACAAATCGCTGCCAACGAAGTCAGACGCAATCCCAATATGTTGTTTCAAACTCGAAGATCTCTCAGAAAACGTTGTGTAAAGTGTATAAGTTCTTCTTCGAACAATTACTTTAAATCATAATTACCTATTTTATTTGTTTTATTATTAATTGTTGTAATAACATAAATAAACACTTGGTTTGTTTCGCTTTTAATTTCTCGTATTATCAAAAAACGGTGTACGTTAAATCGATTTTTCTCGAAAACGGATCGAGATACCGAAATGAAACAAGGATGTGTACTTAATTAATGGAAAAATAATTGTTCTTTCAGGTTTTGAATCAAGTTTCGTGTTAGACATACAGGGTAAAAAGTTATTAACTAAATTTTTGGTAAAATTGGTCGTAGGTGGCGCCCTCTATGAGCAACGCTGAAATTGCAACACGCTTTTTATTCGTCGCTTAAAAAAATATAGTTTCACAAATTTTCAAGTTCCTAACCTACATATTTTCAGAATAATCGCAAAAAAACTATTTAAAATTTTAACTTTCAACAACCTGTATTTCCGAAACTATCAACTTTCGGATAAGGCTTGTTTGCGCCAATAGTCACCATTTCACGTGTAGTTCTTAAGCTTTCGATTTTCCCATTGTTAATAAATCACCCTGTATTTGAGTGAAAGTACTCAGTTTTAGTTTAAATATTAATACAAATGAGAAAAATTATCAATATTGAGTGAAAATGTAATATAAAGTAAAGTAAAATCCATTTTACAACATTTGCTGCCGCTCGTGAAATATTAAACGAATTCTTCATATTTTATTAAAATAAAGCCACCCCCTTCAGGTAACCCTACCCAAAAAAAATAATGGCATGCCATAAAGTGAGACGATCTCATGGAGCACCATATATCACCGAACCTGAAAGTAAGACGATCTAGAAAAAGATATCCGAAGGTTCTCTATTTCAGGAGATTTGTAAGCTACAACCGCCGTCCTGTCGAACCCACGTCACGAAAATATTTAATTCCTTGGATATATTTTCGGGTATCCATTTTCCAGATTAGAATATATACATATGGTCCTCTAGATGAACTGATTTTACGTCGCGCCAGAATTTTTCGCAGGATTTAAAATATCGAAAATTGACCCGGTTTCTTGAACCAGCGTAGGGAAGATCATAAAATTCGCTGCCAAAATTACATAAATTTTTTTTTACATCCGCGTTTCTGTACAATCATAAAATAAACAGCAATAGATTGAAATTTGGTGGTACTGTTTTCCCTTTCCCCACTGCAAATAGCAACGTTGAAATCTAATAGTCGAAAAACGAAGAACCAGTCTTAGATCACGAAATTAAAAAATGTTATGAACGAACAGACTTCAAGTTCATTCATTTTTCTTTGTTCTAAAAGCGGATTTCTGATGACCGTTAGAAAATGACAGCAAGCACTGATTTATTTCCACGCGGTAGTACGAAAGTATGATTAATAATTACGTCAGAAATCTCACTAACCCCGCAACTGTAAATATTTCGTTTAATTTTGTCAACTGCCCCGTATATTTAGGCCGCGATAATTACTTTTCGACAAACAGTATCAGGTCCTTTTGTATTAGGCTGTAAACATTGGGTCATTCCTGCGAATATTTCACGCTACGGAAATGACGGCTGGAACGTGTGATGTCACTTTACTGATTACCGACCAGACTAGGCGTGGTAATATCATCGGTTATATACGTTATACTCCAGGGTAATATTTGGTGCATACTTGTTTTCCGTTTATTAAATCGAACAAGGAACACAATGTATGCTGATATCTATTGAATCAGTAAGCAATTCTTTACCATAAAAATTACGTCGTAATACAGACTGTTCTACAAGCTCTATGACAAATTTTATCAGATCGTAACTGGGTTAATTTCAAACATTTTTTCTCATATGAAAATAGGCCCGATTCGTTTTTGTTTAGAAGCTACAAGCATTTTAAAAAATATAATTTCGTATTTCAGTCAAATTAGCTTGATAAATAAAAATTGTGGTTGCTATAACAATAATTATTATTTGTGTTTATAGTCCAGACGGTATCTGTTTCAAAAAGCCATATTTGGGTGAATCGTATATCCACGGAGATTTTTGGCTTTTTGGCTTTCAAATATCTTTAGAAATAAAAATTTTTCTATGCGCATAAAAAAGCGTGGGCTTAACTTTTGGCGGCACAAAAAAATTCGAAAAATGTCATATTTTTCTTCCTATTTAATTATGTATCTTTTCAAGAGTTGATTTTAGGCGAAAATGAAAAAGGAAAAAAATGTTTGTAATTAAATTTTTTACAAAACATGACTAGTCACAAATCGAATGGATGATGATTATTATGGTAAAAATCGAAAAAATCGCAAAAATGGGGTTAAAAACAATACTTTTTAGGGAATTTTTTTGGGATATTTAAATTGGGTATAGGACCTTTATACTTGGCTCAAGAAAACTTCATGTTATGTAGAATCATCACACCAAAATTCATCAAAATCGGTTGGACAGATTTTGCATAATAATTTACAATACAATCCAGATTTTGAAAAAAAAATTGCAAATTTTCAAAATTTTGCACAGCAAAAACCAAGGCACTTAGATACTTGAAAATTTAATCACATATAGAAGGGCTCTCAAGCTTTCAAACTTTTTTTTGAGAGCTCTCCTAATTGACAGATTCGAATTTTTCAAAAAAAAAGTTTGAAAGCTTGAGAGCCCTTCTATATGTGATTAAATTTTCAATTATCTAAGGGCCTTGGTTTTTGCTGCACAAAATTTTGAAAATTTCCAAATTTTTTTTCAAAATGTGGATTGCAAAATTATTATGCAAAATCTATCGAACCGATTTTGATGAAATTTGGTGTTTTTATTCTACATAACATGAACTTTTCTTAAGTCAAGTATGAAGGTCCTATACCCAACTTAAAGACCCCAAAAAAATTCCCTAAAAATAATGTCTTTTACCCCCATTTTTGGCGATTTTTTTGATTTTTACAATAATAATCACGATTCATTCGATTTGTAACTAGTCATGTTTTGTAAAAAATTTAATTACAAACATTCTTTTCCTCTTCCTTTTTCTCCTAAAATCAACTCTTGAAAAGATACATAATTAACTAGGAAGAAAAATATGACATTTTTCGAATTTCTTTAACATATTGTGCCCCCAAAAGTTAAGCCCATGTTTTTTTATGCGCATAGAAAAATTTTAATTTCTAGTGATATTTGAAAGCCAAAAAAGCCAAAAATCTCCGTGGATATACGATTCACCCAAACCAAAACAGATACCGCCTAGTCTATTAAAGTTTAAACACTAGTTAACCTTTATTAACCGAATTAACAAATCTTAAAACTATAAAAATTGTTCAAAATGTCTTTTTATTTATTTATTTTAAAATGCTTGTAACTTCTAAACAAAAAATATAATTAATATAATATAGTTAAATAAAATTTAATTGAAACCACAATCAAATCAAAATAACTGAAACCGCGTATACATAGGTCGATTCTAAAGCCTTATATAAGATAAATATTTGTTCGGAAAGTAGACCCCGGCCTCAAGCGAAATAAGAAACATCGATATACCGATTTTTGTATAATATGAAATATTACGTGACAGTTTGGAAGGCTTTTAGTAAACACTGCAATGAAAATTAGATGTAAATATCGTGCTGGGAGTATGCTTTTAGGAAAAGATAAATAGCAAAGTCTACGGAATATGTCTATGATGCACGTCGACCTTTTAGGGAGGAGATTCCGACTGAAGCTGTTTATTTTGAAGTTATGGTGGCCATATTCCCGGCCGAGAAATAGTGAAATTTCTGGCGTTTTTAGGTACTGAAATCTTTGAAAGTAAAACGTGTAGAACAAAAGTAAGCACAAACTAATATCCTTGATGTTCTGTTTATTCATTGTTACCATTTAAATTTACCCAAATAAAATAATAACTAAAAAAAAAGCGTTTGTAAAACATGCGTTTGCTGTTATTCTAACCCCACATTTTAAGAATTATTTTCACGTACTTATAAATAAAAGTAAACAATTTTATATGTAGGACTAAGCAAAGTAAATGTTATAAGAATATTTACATGTGGAATTATATATAAAAAAGTTAGTATTTTCGAAGATTTCAGTACCTAAAACCTTGATGGTTTGATCGTTTTTTGCACCTGTTTATTCGTTTTACTGCGGCGTCTTTGAAAATAACCAGATGGCATGACATAACATTCCTATTATTTGATAAGCTTTAGATTATTCAGTTATTAAATGTTTGAAATTATTTGTCTTTGCGGAAAACACTATTTAAAGAATATGGGGCCCTTGCTCGTCGAGTTACAGTCTCTGCCTCAATTCTACGCGGCTGCTCCCAAAATGGGTGCCGTTTTTAAAGTTTATTTTCACCGTAATGGTTTTATTTAATTTATAACATTTAATAAAATATAATATGTTTTGCATATAGTAGAAAACTGATGTTGTATCGTAAATAAGTAGTAATTA